GGGAGTTCTAGTCCAGTATTCTCTCAAGGTAAACTTGCGAGTTGAGTCAGTAGTCAGGAAGGCAAATGCAATGTTGGCATTTATTTTGAGAGGACTTGAATATAAAAGCAGGGATGTACTACTGAGGCTTTACAAGGCTCTGGTCAGGCCACATTTGGAGTATTGTATGCAGTTTTGGGCCCCATATCTCAGGAAGGATGTACTGGCCCTGGAGCGGGTTCGGAGGATGTTCACGAGAATGGTCCCAGGAATGGAAAGCTTAACATATGAGCAAGTTTTGAGGACTCTGGGACTATACTCATTGGAGTTTGGAAGGATGAGGGGGGTTGGGGGGGGGGGGGGGGAAATCTAATTGAAACTTTCAGAATACTGAATGGCCTGGACAGAGCGGATGTTGGGAAGATGCTTCCATTGGTAGGAGAGTCTAAAGACCAGACGGCACAGCCTTAGAGCAAAGGGAAGATTGTTCAGAACGGAGATAAGAAGAAATTTCTTCAGCCAGAGTGGTGAGTCTATGGAATTTACTGCCAGAGAAGGCTGTGGCAGCCAGGTCATTGAGTACATTTAAGGTGGAGATAGATAGGTTCTTGATTAAATCAAGGGGATCAAAGGTTACGGGGAGAATGGGGTTGAGGAACTTATCAGCCATGATTGAATGCCGGAACAGACCCGATGGGCCGAATGGCCTAATTTCTGCTCCTATGTCTTTGGTCTTATTACCAGAAAAACAGAGGTGCCTATTATAGACCAAAGGGGCAATTGGTGTGTACAGCCACAGTCATGGAGACAGGCCCTTTAACCCAAACTGGTCTATGACGACTAAAATGTCCATGCCTGCTAATCCCATTTCCCTGCACTTGGCCCATATCCTTCTAAACCTTTCATATCCACGCATTTATCCAAATGCCTTTTAAATGGTCTTAACGTACATGCCTCAACCACTTCCACTGGCAGCTCATTCCATACGCGTACTGCCCTCTGCGAAAAAAGTTGCCTCTCAGGTTCCCATGTACTCTTTCCCCTCTTACCTTAAATTGATGCCCTCTTGTCCTCGGTTTCCCCAACTCTGGGAAAAAGACTGAGTGCATTCACCTAATCCATGCCTCTCATGATCCTATACACTTCTATAAAAGATGTCCCCCCAGTCTCCCACGCTCTAAAGAGAAGAAAAAAAAAAAAAAAAAAAAAAAAAAAGAGTCCTAGCTTGTCCAACCTCTCCCTACGACTCAGTCCCTCGAGTCATGGCAACATCCTTGTAAATTTCTTCTGCACTCTTTCTAGTTTAATAACATCCTTTCTACAGCAAGGTGACCAAAACTGAACACAATACTCCAAGTGCAGCCTCACCAATGTCATATACACTGCATCATAACTTCCCAACTTCTGTAATCAATACCTTGACTGATGAAGGCCAGTGTGCCAAAAGCCATCTTCACTGCCCTGTCTACCAGTGACTCCGCTTTCAGAGAACCGTGCACCTGAACTCAAAGGCCCCTCTGTTCCACTACACTCCTTAAAGCGCTACCATTCACCATGAAATTTCTACCTTGCTTTGATGTTCCAAATGCACAGTTATCAATATTAAACTCCATTTGCCAATTCTCACCCCACTGCCGCAGCTGATCAAGATCCTGCTGCAATTTCTGATACCCTTCCTCACTGTCCACGATACTGCCTATTTTAGTGTCATCCACAAACTTACTAATCATGCCTTGTACATTCTCATCCAAATCATTGATTTAGATAATAAACAGCAATGGGCCCACCACCGTCCCCTGGGCCACACCACTAGTCACAGGCCTACAAGCATCCTTCCACTATTACTCCCCACTTCCTACCATTAAGCCAATTGTGTATCCAGTTTGCCAACTCTCCGTGGATTTCATGTGATCTAACTGTCCAGAGCAGCCTACCATGTGGAACCTTATCAAAGGCCTTACGGAAATCCATACAGACTAAGTCTACCACCCTGCCCTCATCAACCTTCCTGGTCACTTCAAAGAACTGTAACAAATTTGTGAGGAATGATCTCCTACACATGAAGCTATGCTGACTACTCCAAATCAAACTCTGGTCTTTCTAAATGCATGTATATCTTGGCCCTCAGTCTTCTCAAGTAACTTACCTACCCCAGATGTTAAACTCACTGGTCTATAATCCCCAGGCTTTCCTTTGTAGCCCTTCTTGAATAAGGGCACAACACTCACTACCCTCCAGTCTTGCGGGACCTCACCCTTGGCTAACAATGAGGCAAACGTCATTCCTTTGTTCAAAAAAGGGAACGGGGAATAACCCCAGAAATTACAGGCCAGTTAGTCTTACGTCAGTGGTGGGCAAATTACTGGAAAGGGCTCTGAAAGACAGGATTTATGATTACTTGGAAAGGCACAGTTTGATTCGTGATAGTCAGCATGGATTTGTGAGGCGTAGATCATGCCTCACAAACGTTATTGAATTCTTTGAAGAAGTGACTAAACACGTGGATGAAGGTAGAGCAGTGGATGTGGTATACATGGATTTAAGCAAGGCGTTTGATAAGGCTCCCCATGGTAGGCTCATGCAGAAAGTAAGGAGGCATGGGATAGGGGGAAAAATGTGGCAGATTGGATTCAGAATTGGCTGACCTTTAGAAGACAAAGGGCGGTAGTGGACGGAAGATATTCAACATGGCGCTCAGTTACGAGTCGTGTACCACAAGGATCTGTTCTGGGTCCTCTTCTATTTGTGATTTTTGTAAATGATTTGGATGAAGGAGTGGAAGGGTGGATTAGTAAGTTCGCGGACGATACAAAGGTGGGTCACGTCGTGGACAGTGCGGAGGGCTGTTCTAGGTTACAAAGGGACATTGATAGGATACAGAGCTGGGCTGAGAAGTGGCAGATGGAGTTTAACCCTGAAAAGGGAGAGGTGATTCATTCTGGAAGGACAAATTTGAAAGCGGAATACAGGGTTAACAAAGATTCTTGGCAGTGTGGAGGAGCAGAGGGATCTTGGGGTTCACGTTCACAGTTCCCGGAGAGTTGCCACCCAGGTGAATAGAGTTGTTATGGCGGCGTATGGTGTGTAGGCTTTCATTAACAGAGGGATTGAATTCAAGAGCTGTGAAGTTATGCTCCAGCTATACAAAAGCCTGGTTTGGCCACATCTGAAGTATAGTGTCCAGTTCTGGTCACCTCATTACAGGAATGATGTGGAAGCACTAGAAAAGGTGCACAGGAGATTTACCAGGATGTTACCTGAAATGGAGGGAAGGTCTTACGAGGAAAGGTTGAGAGCTAGGGCTTTTCTCTTTAGTACGACAAAGGATGAGAGGTGACTTGATAGAGGTGTACAAAACGTTCAGAAGTATAGATAGAGTAGACAGCCAGAGACTTTTTTTTTCCTAGGGTGGAGGTAGCTATTACGAGGGGGCACAGTTTTAAAGTGAGTGGAGGTAGATATAGGGGAGATGCCAGAGGTAGGTTCTTTACTCAGTGGTAGGGGCATGGAATGCATTGCTGGAGAGGGTAGTGGAGTCGGCCTCATTAGGGGCATTTAAGCGACTATTTGATAGGCACATGGATGACAGTATAAGGTAGCAGTGGAGGTTAGATAGACCTTGGTTTAGGGTTAAAAGTTCGGCACAACATTGTGGGCTGAAGGGCCTGTACTGTGCTGTACTGTTCTATGTTCTAATAATGCAAATATATCAGCCAGAGTCCCTGCAATTTCTTCTCTAGCCTTTTGCAGGGTTCTTGGATATACCTGATCAGGACCGGGAGATTTATTCACCTTTATACATTCTAATACTTCCAAACACCTCGTCTACTGTGATATGGACTGCCCCATGATATCACCAGTAACTTCCCCAAGTTCCCAAGTCGTCATGTTTTTCTCCATGGTAAACGCAAAGGAGAAATATTGATTGAGGGCCTCACCTATCTCCTGTGGTTCCACACAGATGCCCACTTTGATCCTTAAGGGGTTCTATGTTCTCTTTAGTTATTTTTTTTTCCTTCAATATACTTTAAAAAAAAAGTTTGAATTCACTCTAATCTTCTCAGCCAAAGCTACCTCATGCCTCCTTTTCACCCTCCTGATTTCCTTCTTCAGTAAACTCCTGTATCCCCTGTATACGTCCAGCGACTCCCTTGATCCCACAGGATTGCGGTGGGTCTTGAATTAATATTTCTCAACTGTATTCAAAAGGAGAAAGAGTGTAGTTGCAAATTTTAGTTGGAGCATATTCAGGTTTAACTCAATGCTTTGAAAAAGTTGGCTAAATATGAGGGTAGTGCAGTTGATGTGTGTATTTCCCCAAATGGTCTCAGGCTCGAGTCTGATATTGATCAGCTGGTACTTTGGGCAGAGCAATGGAAGATGGAATTTAATCCTGAAAAGTGCAAGCTGATGTATTTTAGGAGGTTTAATAAGGGGAAGGATTTACACAATGGTAGGTCCCTTGGGAGTACTGAGGATCCATGAATCCCCGAACATGTGAGCATAGATAGGGTGGTGAAGGTGGCATACAGGATGCTGGTCTTCATTAGCCAGGCAGCAGAGTAGAGAAGCAAGGAAGTCTTGTTGCAACTTTTTAAAGAGCATTTGTTAGGCCACAGATGGAATATTGTATGCAGTTCTGGTCACCAAATTATCAGAAAAACGTTTGCACTTGACAAGCTGCAGTGGAGATTCACCAGAATGTTGCCTAGGATGGAAAGTTTCCATTATGAGGAGACACTAGATAGGATGGGCTCGTTTTCCCTGGAGCAGAGGAGGCTGAAAAGGTGGGAGTGGGGATCTGATGGAGGTATACAAAATTTGAGAAGCTGGGTTGGTAGATCATGATTGTCTTTTCCCAATGGCAAATGTGAATATGCCAGAGCAGAGCAGGCAATAGACCAAATGTGGGTAATTGGGATTAGTATAGTTTTGTGTTTATTGGTCAGCACGAACATGGTGGGCTGAAGGACTTATTTCTATTCTGTACGACTATAAAATCAACAGTAGTTAAGGAAAGACACAAGAGGGGACATTCTTGAGGAAGTGCAGGATTCTTAGTCCATTTGTCAAACAAACAGTTAAATCATTTTCTGTGATCCTAACAAGACCAGTGAGACAACTACAGGAAATAAATTCAGGAGCTGGGGAGCATCCTGAATCCAATAATCAAAAATCATTTGATTTCAAGTGCTCCTAGAGGTGTGGAGGAAGAACATTATTGGACTGGGATAATTATTTGTTTACAATAACTGATATATTTACAAGTTCCTGAAGCTCAAAGAACACAAATGTCGAAAAAGGGTTATACTACAGTAAAACATTTCAAAATGAAGCATTTAGTGATGCTTTTTTCTCCTAAATGATGGTACAAAGTTCAAAATCAGGGGACAAAAGTGGCAGAACTGAAACTTTTATTTATATTTTCCGCCCCCGCACCCCACCCCCAAAAAAACCAGGGGGAAGAGACATTTCCAAGAGTAAACTTTCCAGGATTGACAGGTGGTGCAAAACAGGGCTGCACTTTGATGCAATTCTTCATAATAGGCTGCATGCTCTTAAACCAAAAGTAAGAAGTCCACATAATAATTTAATAGGCATATGCATATTAAATTAAGTAGCAATAGAATTTGGCAAGTTATTTTTAAGTTATAAATTTGAGGAGTGCAAAATAAAACTTATTTAAATAAGATTCATAAAATGAGATTGCCCAATTTGAAGTTTAATTTTAGGTAGCCAAAGTTGTGTCCAGTAGTAGGGAAATGTTAAGGAAGCTGGGTTTGTTTTCTTTGGACAATTACGTTATAACGTTGACCATACAAAGTTATCACATTTCAGTAAATGGAAATGTGAAACTAGCTCAAGTTAAAGTTGAAAAAATGGATATCTATCAAATAAAAGGTCAGGAAACAAAATAAATAGAAAAGGCAACAAGAACTTCATACATACAAGATACTATCCATGAATTCAATTATCATGGAGGCAAATAACACCATATTTTGAAAGGTCAATTCTGTCAGTTTCTGGTTGGATAAATGGGAGGCTTTATAAATGATTGTATCTTAAATTAATTTTCTGTAGGTTCACGTATAGATCTGCTAGCCTACAAACCCATGAGATCTAGACATCAATAAGACAGGAAGGGCAGGTCACGGCTTACACCAAAATGAAAGGAAGGCACAGTTGGCCTTGCTTTGTGCAGATTTAGACTCGTCAGTCAGACAGAAACTATGGAAAATAGAGAGCAGAATGCTGCTGGATGAAAACACAGGTAAACTATTGCAACTGCAGAATGTTGATTTGAAAAGATTTGTGCTTGTAGAGGTTTTAAGAGAGTGTTATGATGCCAACTGATATTACTATGAGTTGGATCTGAAATTGAAATCTGGCTTGATATTTTGTCTGTCATACAAAGTAGTCTTCCACTGAAACACAAACACACAAAGCTGCAGATTTGGTTTTAACAATAAACTTATTTGTGCAATAAATGTTTAATAGTACAGAATAAACCAAGCTATTGACATAAAATTGAAAGATTTCAAAGCACATGGTTTAAAAAAAAACGCATCTATCGCAACTTAATTTTACAATATTCAAATGTCAGCATTTCCTTCCCTGTCATATCTATGACATAATTAAATCTTTTAATTTCCAGTCTTGACAGTTTGCTGGATTCTCCCTTTCACACAATTGAACCTAAACTTCCTCAGCTTCAAATAACCTATTCAGGTTTCTAACCTGAACACTTCCAGTCTAGAATACAGAGGTAACCTAGTTTTTAAAAACTGTTTTGAAGTAACTCCTTTCTCCATGAAAAATTCTGACACCAACCTCAGTTCGGTCTTATGCACACTGAAACCAAAAGCTTTCCGATCTATAGGGTTTCCAGTTAGATAAATAAAAACAAATTTCTTATTCTTCTAAACTAGAAGCAAGCTAAGGCTTTTCAAGGATCCAGACCCGAAACGTCAGCTTTCCTGCTCCTCTGATGCTGCTTGGCCTGCTGTGTTCATCCAGCTCTATACCTTGTTATCTCGCTTTTCAATGTGTGCTCCCTTTGATTGTAAAACTCTTGATGCAAACAAATTCCCATCATCACTCCAGGAGCTACTCCCTCAAACAAACAATCTGGTTTCAAAAATTCATGACTCCAAGAAGACCAGCAAGTTAATTATTAATCCTTCATCTACTTGAGTGAAGGGACTTTCAATGACTCTGAAAGATTTGCCCTGGTGTAGCAAGAACCTGTTATTGAAATACCAGAAGGGATTCAGATTCAGGATGCTTAAAAAAGGGACACGTCTGTGGACAGCTAAATTTAATATGATTTTATGACAATGCAAACTTTCATTAATTGAAAGCATCAGCAATAACTCTGGAATAAACTGTTTCTCAAGATGAAAGGGACAAGGTGAAACTATTTTTAATGAATTAAAATTAACATGCAGATTAATCATCCCTGCAAAAGAGAGAGACAAACGTCCCAGGGAAAAATGTCCCAGCCTATTTTGATAACTCAAACCATCCGTTCCCACCAACGTCCTGGTAAAGCTTTTCTGAACCTTCTCCAATTTAATATTATCCTTCTTATTGCAGGGCAACCAGAACTGCACAGTGCTCCAGAAAAGGTCTCACCGACACCCTGTACAACCTCAATGTCTCAACTCCTACACTCAATGGTCCGAGCAATGAAGGCAAGCGTGCTAAAACACCTTCTTAAACCGCCCTGTCCACCTGTGATGCAAATTTCAAAAAACTATGTACCTGAATGCCTACGTCTCTGTTTTACAACATTATCCAGCAGCCTACCATTAATTGTATAAGTCCTGCCCTTGTTCATTTTACCAAAATGCAACACCTCGCTTTATCCAAATTAAACCCCATCTGCCACTTCTCAGCTAAATGGCCCAATTAATCAAGATCATTTTGTAAGTTTAGGTAATCTTTACTGTCTCACGTACAATCAATCTTGGTGTCATTCACAAACATAGTAACCATGCTTCCTAAATTCTCATTTTATTTATCATGTTTCTGTGAAGTTTTATCACATTAAAAATGCAAGCTGTTATGTAATTTCCTTACTAAGTAATTGAATTAAATGGTAACTTGTGGCGATTTACCCACAACAATTTATGGTGTGGGCCATAGGCTGTATTACCAAACATCTGTGAAATGTATCAAGTATACTGTATTTAGTTTCCTACTAAATAAAGTTTAACAAATGTTAAAATTAACACTAACGCAAGTCTTAAAACGTGAAATCTTGGGTTGTGGGTTTCTCCATGCCGGTAATTGAGGTTTCAAATCTCTTTTAAAACTGTTTCCATGGAGATTGTCAACACTAAGAGTAGAGAAGATTGGGCACAATAAAGTGATGTGTTCTTGCTGGACCCTAAAACAAATAAATCCTTGTATTTTAAATTTCACCTATCAGGATCTTAGGACACGATGAAGAGCTTTATGACCACAGAAGTATTTTTGAAGTGTGGAGTTGATGAAGGAAACTCAGATTTGCAGATGTGTGCAGATTTGCACACATCAAGGCCCCATAAATTGGATGATAATGGTCAAGGGCAAATAATGATTCGGCAATATTTCTAAGGTGGCTCAGTGGTTAACACTGCTGCCTCACGGCAATAGCGGCCTGGGTCTGATTCCAACCTCAGGTGAACGTCTGTGTGGGTTTCCTCCGGGTGCTCCAGTTTCCTCCCGCAGTCCAAAAACGTGCAAGTTATGTGATTGGCCATGCTAAATTGCCCATTGTGTCCAGGGTTGAGAGGGCTAGCCATGGATAATGCAGAGTTACACTGATAGGGTAGGGGGTTGAGCCTGGGTGGGATGCTCTTCAGCAGGTCAGTGTGGACTCAATGGGCTAAATGGCTTGCTTGCCCACCGTAGGCAATTTGAATTTCCAATGCTTCATCTCCAAAAACACCCTACCTTCTTTGACTTCCCCATTTCCATTTGTGGACAGCCTTTGAATGAATACTCACTAAAAGCTTGCAAACTTTCTCAGCTTTCTACACTGCACTTCCTCACACCGTTAGGAAGACATTGCATTGTTTCTCTTTTTCCCATCAAATCGGAGGACACAAAATCCTAATGTAGAAGATTGTATTGTTGGGGGGAAAAAAAAAGAAGACATACAATCACCCTCAGTCACTGACAGTGCCCACAACCATTTTAATTTCACTCT